AGAAACAAGCCAAAGTACACATGGTGGAGAGTCCCAAATATCACTACGAGTAAGGAAATAAAATAACCAAGGGCACAAGAGAGACCAAGGGACACCGTTAAAAGGAACACTTCCTGAACAGATAGGCCACGGACAGTCAATGAGCCTCCTTTAATATAACAGAACTGGCGGGTGCAGAGCACATAATAAATTGAACTTTTAGAAATGTATTTATTATATAATTCAAGGGGGATGTTGATTTAGTTTTATTTTAAACTTACCAGAGATGGCTACTCTAGCTTAAGATATGTAAACTTAAGTAAATCTGCAGAATCCCTTTTGACATGTAACATAATGTACTTACAGCTTCAGGAACCTCTTTGGTGGGCCATTAGCATGGACATCTTCGGCACATCTTTCTGCTAACATAGTTAACTAGGCCCTTAGATTAATAGCCAATCCCAACCTCAGGCCTTGGTCTGTTTCCCCTCTCTTTCCTTACCCATTCTCCACCACACAAAGTCCAGGGCTGAGTAAGAATTGGAAAATGTGCTGGAATTTCCATTACCAAAATCTTTGTGTCTTATTCTTCCTTAAATGTACAACCTAATATTTCTACTATGGTCAATGTCTTTACCATCTTTACAATTATTCCCTGTTCTAAGATGGTTAATAAGGAATAATAAGAACATACTTATTTGTTGATATGTCACAAATAGCCCTCAAAATTATTTTTGCCCTTTAGCATCTTTTGTTACATATAAGTGGTTTTTAGAGGCAAAATTGTTTTACTTAGTAGAAACAATATTTTTTTAAAAAGCCAGACATTCAGACTTTTATAAAAAAATCTCAAATCCAAAATGCTATTAGGCAAAATAACTGTATTTTCCATAAGTGCAGTAAATGTAACCATAACATGAAGCTATAGACACAAAATTTACTCTAATAAGTTATTATCCAGGGACATGTTGAATATTTTCAATAATAATTTTCAATTAATGTTCATTTGTGCAGTAACCTCATTATAATGAAGAAGACAAAGCAATGAAGCAGTGTAAATGAAGTTAACTATTTTTTAAGAGCTTAGAGAAATAAATTATTTTTGAGTGTTTAAATATGATTTATATTCCTTGGAAATTGTGTTTTCATAATTTAATGTAATCTGCTAGCCACAGAACTTCTTTCAACTTCTGGCAATATGTCAATATCATCTAAAGTCCATGAATGTCTTAATTTTTCAAAAATCAAGAAGTACTAAATTAAAAATAGAGTGTTTTTTATTTGTATTCTCTCATAAATTTTAAGTTTTAAGAAATATATTTTCTTTCTTGAACAGAATATCCTTTCTAATATAAGTATAATGGCACTAATGAAAATAATTAACATTTGTTAGTCCTCTGCTATGGGCAAGCAATGAATTAGATGCTTTATAGAAGCAATTACTTTCAATCATCACAATTCTATTAGGCAAACAATCTGTAATCACTATTTTATTACTTAGGAATTTTGGCTTGTAATTGTTAAAAGAAATTGAAGGTTTTGGAGCTTCTAAAAAGGGAGGAACCAGGTCTGTTTGAAACCACCAACTGTGGTTTCATCTATAAGCAATCCTGTCTCAAAATATAAACCTGCCTATCTGTAAGATAGACAGAATAGTGATGTACTAAAAAATGTAACCAACTAAAGATGTAATTAGAAGAGTCAGTTATAATTCTTATCAAGCACCCTGGCACAATTGGTAAAGTTCAGTAGGAGTGGAGAAGGATGCCCTGTGGCAGTTACAGTGTCTATGACCAGTCCATTCTCATCACTGGATTCTGCTATTTATCAGCTCTGGAATTTCTCAGAGCAATGCAAAATCAACCTCATTGAGAACATAATGTCAGATCACTGTGTGGTAGAAGGGCACTTCTATTACATACTGAAAAACAGCTCCCACACTCATTTTTAAGTCTTTTCTTTTGAATAACAGTTATGTTATTTGGGGGGGAAGGTAGGTTTTATTTATTTATTTATTTATTTATCTATCTATCTATCTATCTATCTACCTCTAAAAGCCTGTCATGTGGCAATACACATTTAGTAACTAGCATATTTTACTCTATTCTCAGGTATATTTTGCGTGTAGAAGACGCAGGTGTCATGTGAATGAAATTAATGAAACTATATAAATAACATTCTTCTATATGATATTAAAGTGAACCACAAGGCTGAAGTGAATTTTAACAAGGTAATCTTTATAAGAAGGGAAACAGAATATCTTGATTCTATGTTTTATTAGTATTAAAATACAGGTTTATGAGGAAGCCAAAAGAAATAGAAAAATACAAATTTTCCTCATTTATTTATAAGTCGGTATATTTTTCTTCTTTGAGAAGTTGGTTATGCTTTATATGTTGCTATTTCAACATAATAATGATTTTTATCCAGGTCAAATGAAACATGATTCTAGAAAATGCCTATAGGTAATAGATGCTAAAAACAAAACAAAACAAAACAAAAACGAACGACTTATTTTACTCTCTTGTTAGGTTAAAAAAATGTTTACATCCAAACTCACTCATACACTATGAGTTTTTGTAGTCAGGTGTACTGATAGTGTATCATCTATTATTATTTCAAATGAAAAAGTCCACAATTACAGTCCTGGCCCCAAACTGCTTTCCTTTCAGTGCATTGACTGTCTGTAACTTGAAGTCAACACAAATAAATTTTATGGTTAACACTTCCACAATACACATTTTAAGACTTTTAACATTAATATATAGTGTGTTAATGTTAAGTATCAATGTTATTTCTCATCTCCCCAGAACACTTGCCCTGAATTTCCATTGAGAGGTCATGAAATTATTTAAAACCAGAAACCAACTCCAAACCTTCTTTTATTTTTTAAATATTTTTAAATTTTTTATTTATTTTAGAGTGAGCGAGAGAAAGAGAGAGAAATCTTAAGCACACCACTCTCAGTGCAGAGCCTGATGCAGGACTTGCGGGATCATGACTTGAGATCTCAACCAACTGAGCCACCCAGGTGCCCTCAAACCTTGATTCTTGTAGTTCTGTTAATTGAACAACTATTCTTCAATTGTCCCAGACTAAAAATGTGTTATTGTCAATGATTAGTCCCTGGCCTTTTCTCCTGATAACTAGCTAGCCAATAGACCTTGCTGAGTGAGTCTGCCTCAACATACTACTTGATTCCTCTGCCATACCAACTCTCAGTCTGCATAGCTATTTCAACTCACTGTCCTCTTAAATTCACACACACACACACACACACACACACACACACCCCTACTATATATCAATCTATAAAATACTTAAAATTAAAAGACAATTACATAAAGACCTTATATATGCTATAACTTATAAAAAATTACTTAAACCCTTGAAATGCATTTTTTCAGTTAATAAAAGGCATTAATAATACTTAACCTAAAAAGCGAATATGAACATTAAATATTTTTATAAACATACATTTATGGAAATATGACCATAATTGGAAATATTACTCTTCACTGTTTTGTTTTTAGCCTACTGTTTCTTCAATCAACCAATTTTTTATTTATTGTCATTCATTTATTAATATAAATATTAATTCATATAAAAGTCATTCATTTATTAATCAATTCAACAAATAATCATTTGTTTGAGAGGCACTGAGCTAGGTCCTGAAAGTACAGATTTGGTTTATATGAATTTGAAATTATACTATTAAGCCTCTTGTTCCTCACAACAGATTCAAGGCAGTTCAATTCCTGAGCCCACAAGCATATAATTACTTTACTTTCTCTCTTTCTGATTTGGTCCATGGCCTTCAGGAGCACATATAGCACCAGGGTAATAACTATATCTGTTACTACTATAATGTTTAAAATACTATGGCAGGAGTCATCACAATATTTTTCAGTACATATGATATAATTAAGTTAGAATAAAAGCCTGGGAAAGACTTTTAAAGGAGGCAGCCTAACAGACAAGTATAAATTGGTTAAATAAGTAAAGATAGGTAGAAGATAGATAAAAGTATATGTAAGGATATAGATATAGGGAATAGTATCCAATATTCAAGCCCTTAATTATAGAATGAGGCTATAACTATTAAGGGGAGTTTTATTTCTTAGAGATTATTGGAGTCTAATCATGAAGATGATGCAGTTCATTTAAAGGGTGTGTGCAAGAGAGAGAATTATTTCTAACTTTGAGACAAATATATGCCAAGTATGAACAGGTACTGCAAGCAGTTTTTAGAAAGCAGCTTGTCATAGTTTATATTCTGGGAAACAGTCTCTGAGACAGTGATTTGCCTAAAGGATGTTTACTCCGAGTGCTCTGGGCAACACCTATGAGGGAGTGAGTGAGTGGACTAGTTATTGCATGTGGGCTGTCCCTGGGGAGAGGATTTAACTGTGAGTAAGGCTGTGAAGAGCAATTCCAGGGGAAGGACTCAGCTATAGGACCATAAACACATAACCTTTCTGGCAGCTGATAGAAGTATGTTAGTCATTAGGTGAGATCTTTGTGGAAAAATACAGCATATACAAGAATCAACCCACTGCCCATTTAGGACCCACTTATTGCCTATAATACAGGTATCCACTTGGGAAAAGTCTTCCAGGATTTATGTTGCTCTCTTTTTCTAGGTAAACTTAGAAAAGGAAGGATAGGATAAATCAGTGTCCCTGCCCCTGTATCTGCTCTTGGCTCCTTAGTTAGTACCAGCCATCTTCCTCAATTATTCTAGATCTTCTTCAATATAACTTCCTTTCATCTTTAATCAGTACCTGTGCTAGATTATAGCAGACCACATTACTAGAGTAGTGGTATGACTCAAACACAGACACAGATCCCCATAACTGTCACCTTGCCCTTCCAAGATTGTAACTGCCACACTTGTTTACCTAATGTTCAAGGTGGATAGTTAAGTAACCAGACCCTTCCCCATGAATCACCTTGTCACTAAAGATATTATTGTATAACAGCATCCCTAACTCTGCCTATACTGTTTATTTATCATTTAAGGTAGCCAGAGATGATGACTCCTCTCTGTGACTGTTTTTCCTTGCTTCAAGGAACCTAAGTTTATCAACAGTAAAATTCAATGGAATCCTTGAGAGTCTGATATCAGGTGAAAGTGTCCCTTCTCTGGAATCAGGACCTATAGTTAGAAGTACAGAGATTTGCATGGGATGGGGGGATGGAGAGAAGGACGGATTATTAAGCATGAATGGGAATGAGAGTAAGCAAGGTCATTGTTACTTTCTTTTCTTGGTTCTGGGACTCATGCATTCTACTCATTGGGGTTAAGGAACAATACAATTTTATTGCTTTAGATTGTATACTGTCTCTTAGAGGATGATGCTTAATCATCAAAGGGTATTATCTCACAAGCTGACACTTCAACTGCATCTTAAAAGGACTCTTCCCTATCTTTATAAGGATGTAAATGTCCAGATGGTCTTCTATATGCTAGAACCAGTGTATCTTGGAGTTGTTCACCCATTCTTCATTTCCTTTGCTAAATGTTTTCTCTCTTGATCCAAGGCAATGTTATGTGAAAGATAAAGTTAGTGAACCAAGCATTCTGAAGTCCTCATATACCAATGAAGACTGAAGTTTCTCCCCTTATTCTTGATTTATATTATTGAAATGTATCATGACCTTGGTCTAAACAGCTTACACAAAATGTTGGCTCTCCAATTTTCATGGGTGTATTTCATTACTTCATTGAGAATCCATGTTTTTCAACGAAAGGTATTAGAACATTACTGAACCCTGGTGTTCTGCACAGTTTACATAAAATTAATGCATTTGGATTTGAAATAACTTAGCAAGAGATTTGTTGGAATGTCTTTGAAAGAGAAACATCAGTGAAGACCACAATCATTACCTAAAGTATAAATACCTGGAGAAAGACGTGAAGGTAATAAGTGTATTAGAAATACAGAACAATGAATCAGAAGAGAAACAGCATTTTCCCTATTTCTCTAATGCACTTATTCAAATTTCAGAAAATATCATTTACTCACCACAAGATACTGAATTTGAATTGTTTTCTCAAGATACACTCATGATACTGTCTTCTACTTTTCCAACACACATCAGTTATCATATTATTACATAGGAAATGGAAAGAAAAAGGGAGGTAGGTGACTAAGGAGATGGAAATATGATGGGAAAGTGTACGAGAACCACTTAAGTAAGCTGAATGTCATGCTAAGGAGAGGAACTTTTATCTTGTTTTAAAGAAAATGCATGTAAGTACTCTTAGCATGTGGTCAGAAAGCTGTTAGAGAAATGTTAATCTGAAAAAGGCATAGGGACTAGAGCCTGGGAAATAGCCATCTGCATGTCTGTGGCAAGCTCTTCACTAGGTTACAAAGCTGATAACACTGGCCTCATATCCTTTAGAAACTTATCACATGATAAAGTATCTGTGATTTTCTAATTGTGTTTCATCCTTTGTATAATAATGTCATGTACTCTGCCCTATTTCTTCTTCCACTTTTTGTTCTTGCCATTGTAGCAATAATTCACAGGTATAGAATGATAGCACTTTACCCATCATCACAGCTGAACTAAACTAGAACTTTTCTGATTTAGGATGCATGGAAAACTCCATTAGGCACTTAAGACAAATGAAACCTGAAGGTGAAGGCCACTCACTCTGCTATAGGTCAACTATTGTCTTTGAATGAAGATCTCCTGTTCATTTAGGCAGAAAATTCTAAGTGCCATTCAACACTGCTCCTCTCAGGTATGAAAGCATTCAGCTGCATTTGCCCACAATTGTGAATAACTCTAGAACAATGGATTTCTTTTTTTTTCTTCCATTTTTCTATTCTCCGACCTCCACTCCTGTTTCCTAGGATCACTTCTTCACAAAGGACCTGAATACAATCACTTATCTAGTTTCTGCTCTAATGGTGGTAGTTGGGGAGGCTCGAAGCCTAAGATAATGTTTAAATATGAAAGGCATAAATTATTTGGAATGCATCCGAGACAAATACATGCAATACAAAATGATTACCAAAATAATGTAAGATCAATCAAGCATCAAATTATATTTGAGATGGTATAACTTCTAAGTCTACAGTTTAACTGATTATAATAATTTTGGTTCCAAAAAATTCTCTTCCTCATTAAAGTACCACATATTTTAAATCTTTAATTACAACAGAAATTTAGTGCAAATTCACAAATTACTGTTAAGAAAAAGAAAATTAAAGCTAACATTTTAATCTAACCATACTATTACTCAACTGCTTCATGGGAAAAAAAGGGAAAAGCACTGACTACAGAGTATTGAAGGAAAAGTGAAATCAGTGTGAGGACAATAACTCTAGCAGACAAAAAGTTGGTTATTGTGGAAGAGCCTTATGAAAGTTCTCACAAATTACAATGAAATACATAGTATATAATCTGTGTCAAATGCCATATCTGGTATGTTTTTGTGACTTTTCTATTGTTGTTGTTTCTTAATTTTTCCATCAATATACAAGGCATAATGTTAAGTATATCTCCAAACTTCAAACAACATACTTTTAAGAGAGAACATTTATGAAAAACCCATGAAAGCAATTTAGATAACTAGATTTAGTGAAAAGTTACAAATTAGATGGGATTTAGTGAGGATGCTTTTCCTCTTACTCTATAATCAGCAGCAATTTACTTGAAGCCAAACTCTGGGGCTTCTGTCTCTGTTCCACATGAAAGGCTACAATTATACTTATTTTTAAGTCTAGTTCTCTTTAGGCCTGTCAGATATTAAAGTCCCAAAAACATCATCAGCGTATTTTTAAAACTACATTATTATTGCCATTACTGTTTTGTGTCGTAGAGTACTTGAAGGCTTATGAAGAATATTTGCATAAAATATTTGAACCTCACAATGAGCTGGAAGTCTATTATAATAAATAAATAATATTAACTTCATTATAGGCAAAGCGACGTATGGTTCAGATAGGTAATGAGAAAAGCCAGGGATCTTTAATTTCAAAATGGAGGATGGATGGACGAAAGAACAGTTCTCTGTGAGGCAAAACCAGTGCGTACAAATTATCATCCAGGCAGCCGATGAACAACTTTGAAATGAAGCCTTTCATATACTTCTACCTCAGTTACAGATAAAATTGGAAGCTACTTCGGATGTCAAGGTTAGAGTCTTACCAGTAAACAACTGTCCAGGTCCACAGGGAGACACAGTTATCATACAATTACAGCTATCCAAGTCACCATTAGATGGTGCCTTCATCAAATAGACTTTAGAAATGTGAAAGGTTTGCCTACTTGCTTTGATTCAATAAAATTTTTCAGCAACGACTTTTAGTATACTTGCACCTTTGTACTGTTTTTAATAAAAAACATATTCTTAATTTCTTTTTAAAAAAACTAATCTGCAATCCTAGATAATTGCCTTTGAGGATCCAAAAAGACAAAAGATACCATGACCTCAAAATTACGTTTAGTTTGAACACTCGGCAACAGGAGAAATTTTCACAAATATGCATAAAGCAGAGGATAGGAGGATCATTAGAATGGATTAATTCAAGATTGATGTTTGAAATGCCTATTGAGAGAAAAACTGTAACATCTTTAACAAGGTATTGTTCTTCTTAATGTGTGAACAATGTCTACTCATGTTAATCACAGATAAAATTAGCACATGAAGAAGGAAGGGTAGCTTCAATTTATAGTTAAAATAACATGTCTTTATCATATGCAAATGGCATTTTTATTTTTTATATAATTCCTAAAAACAGGATTCCAAAAGTGACTGTTAAAAAGAGTAGAGAACTGGGGCACCTGGGTGGCTTAGTCGGTTAAGCGCAGACTTTCACTTAGGTCATGATCTCGTGGTTCGTGGGTTCGGGGCCCCGCGTCGGGCTCTGTGCTGACTGCCAGCTCAGAGCCTGGAGCCTCTTTCAGTCTGTGACTCCCTCTCTCTCTGACCCTCCCCTGCTCACGCTGTCTCTCTCTCTCCTAGAAATAAATAAATAAATAAAAAACATAAAAAAAAAAAGAGTAGAGAACTTAAATCACATTATCTGTTTTTCAGTCTAGGCCCTAATGATTAGTACTTGCATTAATGGTCAAATTACCTAGTTCTCTTAGGTCTTATGCTCCTTTTGTATGAGAATGAATATACTGATGTACTTTACTTACAGAACTATTATATATTTGTATGAGAATGTGATCTTAAAATGTGTTAGCAATGTAAGCATAAGATATCCTTTTCATTTTTCATATGAACAGCCTAAATGCAGTTGTTTAACTAGGTCTGATCCTTTGATCCTATAGTTTAGAAATATCAGGTCTCTTCACATTTGAAATAAGAAAATTTTTAAGCATTTGGGTATGTCTTATATCTATCACTAAACCCTGATTTCAATAAAAAATACCAATTATGATATTTTTCTTGTCCCTCCCTTAAGATGTGCTATGACTATTGCTTTTAAATTAAGCCATAATGCATAATTATTAAAGACCAATGCATTGATTTTAACTAATTCTCTATCATAGTTTTTCATTTTTCATTAGTCAGCTACAATGGTCTAGAATTACCAACCAAAAAGAAAAGTGTCCATAATATGACCACAAAATATACTATACATCTAATTCTCTCGAATGTAACAGGTATAGAATCCAGAAAAAAAGTGAATGTAATTGTGAGGCTGTGGTTCTCGGGTTATATAAGTTTTTATTATAGAAGCTTTTGCAACCACTTGAGTGAATCTTGACAAGGCACATTATCTCTCTGGATCTTTTTTTCCTATGTGATAAATATGTGCCTTTCTATCTTGAAAGATATTTTTTTTTTGCCAAGATGTTTGTGTTCATTTTATTCTTATATTTGATAGCTTTTCTATCCAAATAAAAGATTTTGTTCTCAAAACTGACTACATCATATGGTTGCCATAAATATGATGACTCAAGTTTTAGGAAAAAAATAAGCTAAATTGAAATGTAATGTATCATTAAGAAATATTAGAGAAAAACAACTTGTATTTTTGTATCTCTTTGTTGAATATGATGTCATGAAATATCTTTTTTTTTTAATGGATAGCTAATTTTTATTAAGAATAATTCTTTCTTTAACACAAATGGTTTCCTGTGTGGTAAATAAAAGTGAGGACCACTTGTCAAACTGAAAAGTAAAATGTGAAGAAATATCTAAAATGCCAAGCCCAGAAATTCAATTATTTTAAAGCTTTAAAAGATTTTTTTTATTCTTAATAATGTACTGGAGTGAACACACACATTTGATATTGATGAACAGTAAAGTGATGATATGTCTTCAAAAACAAAAAATCAAAAGACCTAAACCCTTTGAACTGGGAGCCCGAGGAGAAAAGGAGAGGGTGGTACAACAGTATTTTTTCAGAAACTGCAAAGTGAAGTGGAACTCTGATTTATAGCACACTCAATTAAGCAGAAACCTAAGCAGCACAGGGAAATAGAGATTGAATTCTACTGACATTAAATAATTTCCCCAAACTTCAGTAGTCCCAGAAATAAAAATAGGGGATAAAAAAAACCCAGAGAAAATTGTCAACAATGTAATTCAAGATAACTTTCCCAAATTAAAAGTAAAACGTTAGCAAACAGAAAGGACCTACCTAATGTCCAGAAATGTAATTAAATAGAGTTTTGTGATTATCATTTCAGAACACTAGAGACAAAGAGATCAGGGGAAAGTCTGTGGGACTTTCTCAGATAAAATAGGGTTAAAGAATAAATGTGTAACGTGTTGTAAATGATTTTAATTTTGGAATTCTCATTAACATTAGAAGCTGGAGTCATTGGAATGATGTTTTCAAAATTCTAGAATTCTATACCCAAACATTAAATCAACTAAGTGTCAAGGTAAATTAAAGACCTTGTCAAAAATTCAAGATCTGAAAGACTGACTGCCCACATATAGCCTCTCAAGAAGTGACTAGAAATTAGCCTCCTTCAGAGAGAGAGAGCAAAGAAAGATCAACAAATACATGAGACACATAAACCCAAATCTAACACAGGAAAGAGGCAAAAGCCTATCCCTAGGAAAATGGTAAATATATATCCTGGAAATCAGGTATGTAAGTCTGAATACAAATGTAGAACAGGTCAAAATGCACAAAGTGGGAAAAACAAATAAGTAAGCAGTATTAGAGAAACCTCTGATTAGATGGAACTGAAGAACTAGTCTCAATTTTCTAAACAAAACATTATTCAGTTATTTACAGTTCATGACTTTTCTCAGGACTTTTTTTTTTTTCAATGCCCAGAAGTAAGCATGAGTAAGAACAGAAAAAGATAATACATAGAATTCCAAACCAAAATACCGTTAATTACTCTGGTTGTGAAAATTTCTATGTATCTCTCCTTTAAACAAAATGGCACTTACAGCAGACCACCATAGTTGTACTTCCAGAAAGCAGTAAAAACAGAGTTTTTTAACTTAACAGATTAAACATCCTTTAACTTGTGTATATTTATGACCTATCCAATAGTTTCATAGGAACTATACCTAGAAATGCATATTGTTTGGATATTTTAAGAGTGAACTAGTGAGATATGGCCACTGAAGGCATTATGATATAATCTATATATTGAAAGCATGTTCAATATAACCTATACTATGAAGACACTGCATTTTAAGCACTGGCGACCACAATGTGTATGAGACTGTGCTATAAGCACATGATTTTTAAAACATTTAACAGTTTCATTAAAAGCCCTTTTCAAATTAACAAGAAATTAAATATTTTTAGCAACAAAAATCCTTGTTTTGAAGTATCCACTTGCTTTTTTTTAGTCCTTAAATTTTGGCTGACTGAAAAATTTCATTATAAGCATGATGAGAAAATCTGAATTATTATGTACTAGAATCTAGAAGTAAAGCTGATTAATAACATTAGACTGAGATATCACAAAAGTTAGACCCAAATGGGTTTTTTCTTTGTTTTTTTTTTTTTTTTTTTTAATGTTTTATTTATTTCTAGGAGAGAGACAGACAGACAGCGTGAACAGGGGAGGGTCAGAGAGAGAGGGAGTCACAGACTGAAACAGGCTCCAGGCTCCGAGCTGGCAGTCAGCACAGAGCCCGACGCGGGGCTCGAACCCACGAACCGTGAGATCATGACCTGAGCGAAAGTCAGACGCTTAACCGACTAAGCCACCCAGGCGCCCCAACTTTTTTTTTTTTTAATAGTTAGTGTCCTTTATACTTAGATATAAATCTCAGCAGTTTAAGGAAATACATAAGATTTCCACCGCACTGTTATTTATGCATTGAAAATTAAGAGAACATTTATAGAAGATTAATTGGGTAAATAAAGCTCACAATTATTGTCTTCCTACATGAACAATTAGGTGTGCAGCAGAAATGAATATGATATGAAGAATCAAGTTTCATTTCTCAGCTTCTGCCACATACAGCTAGATTAATATTACTGTATCTACATCTGCTGAAAAAGGATTACATAAAAAATTCAAATCTGTGGAGAAATTCTATGAGATCAGCATTGAACAGGTTCAATTTAAGAAGTGAGTGGATCATTAATATATCTATTAAGCAACTGGATTCTAGGGTAGTGCTCATGGGAGAAATATGAATCAGGAAGTAGATATAAAGTCATAAACAGGTGAGTCCATTATATAACCCAAGGAGGATATATGGATTAATCCTAAAGTTGGACTAAAATAGAATCCTTAGAAATATACTATTTAAGGTGTGGTTGAAAAAAACCACATTAGTGTCCAGATAGAACATAATCCACAACAAAATAGCATTATAGACTCCAACAGTAGCAAGTATTTAAGAGAGAACTTTGTTAGCCTTGGTGAGATTAATATCAGAAGAATAATGAGTAAGAAAAATCAGTTTTAGTGTACAGTGATAAATAAAGGCACTGAATAGAGATGACTATTTTTTATTTTATGTTACTTTGTTTTATTTTATTTTATTTTATTTTATTTATTAAATAGTTTATTAAATAGTTTATTGTCAAGTTAGTTTCCATATAACACCCAGTGCTCATCCCCACAAGTGTCTTGTCTAGCATGCCAGATAACCATCTGTGAGTTACAGATTTAGACCAAATCTGTAGCTGCAGAAAGGAAGGTTCAGCAAAGAAGTTGGGCTCCCATAAATGCATCCTAGTCTTGAAGGTATTTTTTTGGGGGGGAGAGGGGAATGGGAGAAACAGGAGAATCATAAAAACCTAGGAACCAATTCTATATTCCAAATTCCAGATTATTTCTGATACTGCAGGATACTTATACAGTACTTACCATGTTCCAGGCACTCTTCCAAACTCTAAGTACTTATTAAGATGTATATTTGTGATAATTATTATACAAGGTAGACAGTAGTATTTAACTATCATCTCTTATTTTACTTACTCTAGGCCTCACAGGAAATGGACACTGGAACCAGGAGGTGATGATAGCCCTTATGATCCAGAAATTAGGTTCTTATATGTTCATAGAACTACTTATTGGCTGACTAAAAGAATGAAAACATGAAAGACAGAAATTAGGAAGTAAGAATTATGGCTTGGTATAGAAGTTAGCATCAGTAGTCCTGGGTGACCTTTCTTTGACCTGCCTTTCCTTCTCTCAAGTATTACTAATCATCAAACCTAAGCTTGTTACATAAATAATCAACCTCAGCTTCCCTAAATGGCAAGACCTTAATTTATAAATGTTATAATCGCCAAATGGCAAGTTGCTACATATTCACCAGTTTAAATATAATAATTGATATTAAAATTATTGGTCATATGAAGGAAAATGCTTCCAAACAGTAAAAGTGGCTCTGATTTCTGGAAAAAAAAAAATGATCATGGCTAACAATATCGAAAATGACAGAATATTATAACTTCCCAAAGCTCATGTTCAGTTTAAATTCCAAAGGAAATCATTTGTTTAAGAAAAAAATTAATAGGCTGAAATGTACAAAGCTGTGAAGTTGATAGTAGAACACAGCATTATAAAATTAATAATAGAGTAGGCAGGGCATTGTAATTTGATATATATATAAAATAGATGAATGATGGATGGATGGATAGATATAAATAAAGATATAGAAACAAAAGCAATGGATATTTATTATTGGTATATCTCTGCATTAGTTTGCTAGGTTTCTGAAACCTAAGTGGCTTACCAATGGAAGGAAATTGTCTAAATGTTCTGGAGCCAGAAGCTGAGATCAAAATATCCATCTGTATTAAACAGAGGTTAATAGTAAACTTCAAATTCTGCATAATGGTTATTCATGGGAAGAGATATGGGAAAACAGTGAGGGGGCGGAAAGGAGGACATAAGATAACTGATTAGTAACAGCATAGTTATTAGGTAATACAGCCATTTAAAATATCATCCTTCAGTAACAACATAATTTTTTTTAATTATACTCCAGAGCCTTACTCCTTAGGTGCAAACTCTAGTGTTTATGCTAAGTATTTATATATTCTCATGAAATTAATAAATCTCTCTACATTAGGTTCCTTGCCGGAGACTGAAACTGCACAGGTCATCCCTGATGGCAAGGCCCAGGGAAACACCTGTGTGAAAGGACTGCGCAGATCATCCCTGATGGCAAGGCCCAGGGAAGAGACTGCAATGGAGTCAGAAGAACCCCCGGAAGAATTCTTCTCTACTCTGTCTGTACCTTTTATTCTCACTTCTGCTGTTAGTCTATTCTAGGGTTAATATGAAACCAGAATCGCCCAAAGTTCCCCCCTTCCTCCAAAATGGAATGTACCTAACTATCATGTTTGCCCCCTCAATCAGATGTTGTCTAATAAATATTGTAGCAATTAGCAAAATTGGAGACAGTTCTGTATGCATTGGGTCTTTTATAGACCTAGAATTCATTTTCCTTGTATGAGTCTAATTGCCAGTAAGAATACATATTATGCCATAAGCAGAGACAAAAACAAGACTTACTAGTTGTGGAGGGCTTTCTAGAAAAAGTGTAAGAGAAATATTTGCCTGCTGACCTCAAGCCTGTAAGGCAACTTATGGATTGTTCTGGCCAAAGAATGAGATTGGTAAATGCAGAGACCAAATTCTAGTTGATCCACATAAAACATTTCCATACGTCATCTACGATAAATGTTGACAGTGTTCTTTCCTAGTAAGGGGTTGTGAGAGTCTGTTACCTACAACTGTGGGTACAAGTATATCCTGTTTTTGCATGCCCACTGAATTTAAACAATTAAAGGGCACTGTGATCTCATGTATTCTGGCAATATGCTTCACTTATCCTTAGATATCCTGTCTTACTTAGTAAAGAATATGTAAAACTTTGTTATGACTACCTGGTTAAATTTTATTGGTTGAAGTGGAAATTACATACCATGAAATCACTGTTGCCAAGAACACTTAGAAATGTTAAGTCCCATGACTGTACTCAAAAAATGTAAATAGTTTAAGCATGATTGTTTGAATTTGCTATATAAAAACCCTAAGCTGAAAAATAAATTTGAGCAGTCCACCTGAAGAGGCTGGCTCCGTGTCTTCTTTCGCCGACGCCAACCATCACTCTCCGGACCAACTCTGGCTTGCAGAGGCTGGTCCCCTGCAGTTCCTCTCAAAAAATCTGAATAATACTGTTACCTTCCTTCTCTATATATTTAATGATATATTTGTAAAGCACTTGAAATTGTGCCTTAATATAAGCACTTTAGGAATATGTGCTAAATAAAAATACATCATTATATCATTTAACTAAAATAAAATAAAATAAAATAAATGACATGAAAATAGCATTCATCAAGAATTATAATTAATTCAATTATTTGTGAATGAGTACCACAGGATGGGAAGAAATGTGGTAAGGAATAATAGCAAGAAAAACTTTAATATTTATACAATCCATGTATTTTTAGATAGATATGTCCAATTTCAGATTTTGTTTTAGTCAAGGGTGGGTCTGTAAAACTGCCATTTTTTCCCCTAAAATTAATTTTATCTATAAGGGTGTAAGCTCTTAACAGCAGGGAAGACACTTGATTTTGTTAACCCTCTTTCAGTGTTCAGAAATCTCTTCTGCATCAGAAAAATTTAGCCATTGCCATGCTTTTAATATTAAGCCTTAAATCCCAATATTTGTTTTAGTCACTATTTAACAAACCAGGAATGGAGCCCTAAGTAGTGGAAAGTGATGGCTAAATGAATCACCACTATTCATCCCCAAGAGGCAAAGAGAAAGGATGCGGCAGGGAATAGAGCTAATTTTACATTCCCTAGACATTATATCAAAGAGACACCATTTCTACCTCCAAATCTGAACTACATGTGGCCATGTATATGTCTCTTTCCAATAATTCTACTTATCCTTTTGTTCATATCTGTTCTTGGGTCATGATTTACCTGCTTGTATGATTTATTTTTATTTTATTTTATTTTATTGTCCATCAGCTTAGCAATCTAATTCTAAAATTACTTATGATAGACTGGGTGTTCGATCTTAGACTTGGATTTGTAGGACAGACACAGCAAATGGACACTGATTAGAAGGGACTGAGGATTGTGATGAGAAGATGATCCAAATGATCAAGCAGACAGTCTTAAGGAGAGCCCGGTTTGCAAAAATCTAAGTAAAATATTGAAGTTCTTAGGTGTCTAAAGTCTCTAAGAAATCAAAGAGCAGTGAGAATGAAAAGAGTAAAGGGATGGCAAACAGATTGCTGTGATCAAAGATGGAGATATGAGTTTTAATATCAAATATTCTTTCACTAATTAATTGTGTTTATTAGTTATCATCTACTAATTTGTGCCAAGCTTTGTTCTAAACAAATTCTTAAACACAAAATACAAAAATCTTTGAATTCCTGAAGCTTCTGTTCTATTAGAGGGAAGTAGAAATTAAACAAAACAACAGATTCAGACTGTTATTGGAGAGGGAAAAAGCAGTGATCGTACAAGGAATATCAAGAGAGATTAGTAATTTGGAATAGGGTGGTTAGGAAAGGCTTCACTGAAGACATACTGGAGTAAAAAATTTTAAGAATATGTAGGAATAAACTAAGTAGATACCTTGGGTAAGAGCATTCTAGATACACTAAATGGAAGTAAAGAGGCAAAGGCTGAGGTCAGAAGGTGTGCCTGGCAAGTATGGGATAAAGCAAATTGGCCTCTGTAACAAGTCTATTGGGGTTAATGTAGTGTTTCATTACTATTTTGGAAAAGAGAATGACAAACAAAGCATAATTTAAAAATACATAAAAGGTTTTCTTCTAAAAATAAAATCTACTTAAATTGTCCCAAGAGTGTTTATTTGACATACCCATTTATAAATGAGGCTCGGTTATGAGCCTTTGGGCAAACAACAGGCTGAGGGTGAAGCAGCCCCCCTCCCACTAGTGACATAAAGCAGAGCAACAGAAGAAAGCCATATGAACACCTGAAGAAAATCAAAGACAGGAAATGACATACACTTCGAAAGATCTTCCTTTCTCTATATAATTTTAAGTGCCTCTGGAGACCGTGGGGTACTACTCCCTCTGGTCCTCTTTTTGGTCACTAACTTTTACACAGATTGAGACTCTGACCTCCTTGGGGTATCTCATCAGATTAGGCATAATTGTTCTAGAAGTAAACACCATTTTTATACCTCCTATCTTGTCATTTATGTGATCATTCAAGTTAAAACATTCTTAACACCCAAGACTTTTATACATAAGCTATTTTCTGTGTGGCAGGGCAGTGATGGAGAAAAACAAATACGAACGTTAAATTTCCCATTTCTTTGCTCACTCATTGGTCCCAAGGTCACATAATTCTTAATCCAAGGTTGCAAAGACCCTGGTCCATATGATCTAGCAAACTAAGGATGAATGGAAAATGCTCTTCTATGTTCATATCCTAATATCTCTATTCACTCCTATAAGGGAAGGTATTAAAAAGCCAGAAATAAGGGAGATAGGCAGAAAACACCCACTGTATTGATCCTAACCATTCTAACCATCCTACCTTGAATCAGACTTAAATCTTTTATCATCTTCTTTCTTGAAGATTAAGGAAGAATTCTATAAAAATGTTATGCAGAGATAGGATCACTACAAGGTTAATCTTTATTTCTAATAAAAAAATTTCATTATTTTTCAAATCAGTATAAGACCTGGAGATAAAAACAGCAAGTATGAACACACACACACACACACACACACACACACACACACACACACACCTCTAAACAACAGTCCTGAACAAAAGTTGTTACAGGAAGTTACAAGAAGTGTAGCATTCTTCAACAGTGTGCAAGCCAAATCTGTTAGGTGTGTATAATATACACAAAACTATTTTGTGAGTTAATAAAAGAGGTAAATAAACTTACATGATAATCAATGACATGTGTACATTTGTAGAAAATAATTCAGTTTAGCTTGTACATCTTCATTTAATAGCCAACATTAGAGATTAAGTACTATTTTCTACTCTTAAGCTGCTTTATTTGAATGCAGAATGGTAAAGAAATGAGAATGCATTCTTGAAAATTTTGCTATGATAATTAAAAATGTTA